TCCACCAACGACAACAATGCTAAGACTCTTTCTTACAACCCACCCACAGTAAGTAAGTAAGTACCTACCTACGTACCCCACTAAAACCTATGTGTGTGTGTGTGTGTGTGTGTGTGTGTGTGTGTGTGTGTTTGTGTGTGTTTGTTTTTCTTGGGGGGGGAGGGGGAAGAGATGGGGAAGGGGTTGTTTTACTTTTATCTCTTAGCTATTCACAATTTTTGCATTCGCCACTCCACAGTAAAACACTTTCTTTCCTCTTCCCCAGATTGGAGACTATTTGATGCCCTACAGGATTTCACACCACCCGGTGTGTACTTATACGGGGCGTGTTCCCAGACAGGTAACATTATCCGGATGCGAAGACTATCCAGATCCAACCTTCGAAGTATTCGATGCCGCTGGCTGTGAGTGTCGACTGTGCGATTCCGATTACACCAGCTGTGAAAATTTGAACGGATAACCCGAAGGCTGCCACCGACCTCGTCATAACAGAGCGCTATATCATACTACGTTAATGTTGGCCGGATAATAATTATTTCCAGAGAGTTTATATATAAAAAAGAGGGGACTTCTTCGTCTCGACTGGGTACATTTCGACGCTGTGTGGGAACGATGATTCAGGAAAATGTCGTCTGTGAACAAAGACTGAAACAACACGTCATCCTGAAAATATGTGGCCTGCTAATGACGTCATATATTCTTGCTGTTAGTCAGATCAATGCTACCTTCTCCCACAGTTCATAGCGTGATGAAATAAATGCTGGTCCGGCTTATGACAATCACTTTCCCTACTTTTTTCTTGCATTTTAAGTGTATTTTATTGACATGATTGTTTGTTTCAAATTGGCTGTTGCTGTTGTTGTTGTTGTTGTTGTTGCTGTTGTTGTTGTTGTTGTTGTTGTTGTTGTTGTTGTTGTTATTGTTATTGTTGTTGTTGTTGTTGTTTTTTGTTTGTTTCTGGGGGAGGGGTAGGAGTTTGTTAATTAATTTTGTTTTAATTAATTTTGTTTGTCTTTCGGTATGGTTTTTTTAAGGGGAGGGGAGTGTTTTGTTTGGGTTTTTTTGTTTTTTTGTTTTTTATGCTTTGGGTTGTTTTTGTTTGTTTGCTTTGATAATGTTTTGTGCTGCCCATAGTTTTCATTGATCAATTGGTGATTTGATTGACTTAGTATTTGTGGTCTTGTTTCTTAGCTTGCTCGTTTTTTAAATTGTTTTTCTCCCTGTAGCGAGACGGAAGCTTATCAAATCTGTAAAGGATAAGATAATAGAGGATGCATGAGTGAGTGAATAATTACGTCAGATAAACGGCGTCAAAAGATCTCCCCCCCCCCCTCCCCTGTGCTCAACTCAGGGAAGGCTCGTATTGGACATCGCCAGTTTCCTCCGAAGCAAGACGAGTGAGGAAAGGGAGACAGAAAAGAAACAGAGACGAAGATAGAGACGAATATTTTTTTTGGTTACAAATGGTGAAATGGTGAAATGGTATAGGTTTAACGCCCCTATCAACACTCTCAGGCTATTTAAGAGGCAAGACCTCCGAGTTTAACGTCCATCTCCGAAAGGACCGAGCCAAGTGAGAAATTCGTGTAAAGTGCCTTTCCCAAAGACACTGCGTCGGACCGAGCTGAGGCTCGAACCCCCGATCTCACAATCTCACGATTACGAGTCCGGTAGCCTAACCCCTAGGCCACCTTCGCCACTTAAGAGTATGTTTCAAAGTAGGAGAGAGGATGAAAAGAAGGATGAAAAGAAGGACGAAAAATGAATGTAACCTTTACGCCCTCGTTGATCCTCTTTCAACCATTTAGTAGGCGGGCTGCTTCAAAGCTGTGCCTTTCAGGATCAACTCGGACTAAGAAAGATGCAACATCCCGGTAGACAGACGGACATACTCGATTTTAACCCTATCCATACGTCGTGTTTTACTATCATATCCATACGACGTGGGGAACTCTTTGCCACCACTTTCCAAAGAGGAAATTTACTCGTTAATCCGACACGTACGCTTTGCATAGCAGTCTGTCAAAATTATTTTTTGAGAAATACTGAAAGTTTCAAAGAGATCTTCGTATTAGAAGTATTCTAAAATGTGAAGAATACAACCCCGGGGGTACAAAATGACCCCAAGGCGAAAGTACCCCAATATGTCAATCGAACTCATGTCTGACTATGGTATTCCAGACCTTTGTAAACAGGGAAAGAGATTATTTTAAAGGTAGATGTCTTTACAACTCCCTCTACATGATTTACATCATTTAGGAGACTGGTCTTGGTCATGCCTTCAAGGCCAACTCGGGCTTAGAGAGCTACAACATCCTAGTAGAAAGACTGAGATACTCGATAAAAAATATCCCCACTCGGGACTCGAACTCAGATTTGTTTGTGAACAACGACAAGGCGACTCTTACCGCTACACCACAGACACCTGTGGGGGAAGAAGAGGGGTGGGCTAGGCTATCTAGGAATGAGGGGGGATCAAATTATATTACATGCGTCGACTGCTCAGCGTAAGACTCCTCCCGTCATACGCCACTCTGCTTGATGGCGTGTGGTGAAGTCTTGCGCTCAGCAATCGGTATGTGGTCTTAATTTATTTTTTTTGGTAAGTGTTTTACGGCGCTCGCAACTGCATAAGGCCATATGAGCGCGCGGGACACACCAAACATATGTAATTGGTAGGGAATTTTGAATTTTGCCCGGGTGGCGGCCGAAGCCTACATTAATCGATTTTGGACCACCAAGGGATCTTTAACGTTCACGACTGGCACACAGCCCTCCGAGATTGTTCGCCCTTGTCCGAGAAGGCAAAGTGTAGATCTGTCCTACCCGAAGATCAGGGGTGTGGCTGAAAGAGAGCAATAAGAAGGAGCCAAGGAGTAGCAGTGGAAAGGCTGCAGAAAGACTCAGGAGCCCAGTGGAGGGGGCAAAGGAGGTGAGGGTGTGTGGGAAGAAAGTGGAGACGAAAGCAGAAGACAGAATATTACAAGAGAGGAGGCAAGAAGGCGAAAGGAGACACTTTTAGAGAAGAAAATTGTTCGGTCGCTACCCGGATTCGAACCCGGTCATAATTCGCTGTCTCAGAAGTACAAAGTTCTCTCTGCTCAGTACCTAGTTTTGATAAATGTGACGTAAAAACATTTTAGAGTTTCACAGTATTTCAAGCTTTTTCGAATGCAGTTCTTTGAATATCTTGATAACGATTCAGAACAGTCTCATGATTTTGACAGAGAAGATTTCTGACCTCCTGTTCTAAGTAACTCAAAACGGCCAAAAATATCAAATAAAATAGTTGTAATTCTGAGTTAGCGATTTATTTCGAGACCCTAGCTTTATTACCGTTTTTACATCTTGGTGGGGGGTTTTCCTATGTGCTCTTCGTTTTTGTCGTTTGGTTGCTGTTTTTGTGATTGTCTTTCCTTCTGGAGAGATGGGCTTAGGTCTCATGAGCGTTAATCATCTTCCTGTAATGAACATTGTTACGCGTATCTTACAGAAGAAGGATATCTTGTCGACAGCCGGTCAATCTGAATTTGGATCACGGAAATTACCTTTCTCTACCAAAAAGAGGCTCAAAACCTCACGGCATCATTAGGGAAGAGCAGTGCTCTAATCACAGACGACTACGACGGGTATGTCGTGGAGGGAGACAGAGCTAGTGTACAGAGAGATATAGAGGGACGAACACAGAGAGAGAGGGAGAGAGAGAAAGAGAGAGAGAGAGAGAGAGAGAGAGATGGGGAGAGAGAGGAGGGATAGAAAGAGTGAATGTGTGTGTGTGTGTGAGAGAGAGAGAGAGAGAGAGAGAGAGAGAGAGAGAGAGAGAGAGAGAGAGAGAGAGAGAGAGAGAATGAGAGCGATAATAATACAGACTTCAACATAAGTTAAGGACCACATTGACAGACATCCCTGATTTTTTGAAAATCCGAAAAAAGACAGTAAGGAATGTTTCAAATTGTTTTGCTCTAAAAGTGTTAATGGGTTACAAACGCGTACTGTAAAGCTTCCAAAAGGGACAAAACCACCACGTGCAGCACGGAGAGTTTTAGCCGAATTTGCTTTTTTTATCGACTTGTGTGCGACACCACGGATATTCCTCAGTTAAAATTTCTGATGCACGTCATTAACGGACGAACAGTCTCGAACTGTGCTCACTTTGGTGGTAATATAAGCCGCCGTTTGCGCAAAATCCAGTATTGTATCAACATGCCACCAAGACGAAATCTGAGAGACTTTGATCGTGCCAGGGCTATGGCATGGCTGCAGGGTGGAGTTGGAGCCCGAAAAGTTGTCAGGAGGCTTGCAGTGTCACACTCTGTCATTGTCCGCTTGAGGCAGCGCCATCAAGCCACTGGATCAGTCCAAGAACGCCCACGTGCAGGTCGACAAAAGAAGACCACTCAGGGTGTTTGCACGTGATCCTTAATTTACGTTGAAGTCTGTAGATAGCATTTGTACAGCGCAAATTCCCGCTCCACAGCAAGTTCTATGTGCTGAAAAATCGTTATTGTGACCGAACTGCAGCAGACCTGATGGCATTCTGAAACAATCTAAACTTCCCGGGAAGCATACAGAGCAAGCTGCCATTTTATATAAGAGCTAACACACAAACATGCTGAAAAGATTATTTCGCTGTCGATGGCCGGTTACCATTCTCACCTGGGTAAGGTGAGGAAACTTCGTGTCTGCATTTCCGAAGGACATAACATCGGCCTGAGGCTGAAACCCACGAACCTTCAACCTCACTATAAGACTAGACTACCGACGCCACAGATTAAGTGAGAGAGAGAGCGAGGGAGAGAGAGAGAAAGATAGAGAGAGAGAGAGAAACAGGAAGAGAAAAAGATGGATGAACAGACAGGCAGACAAGACACAGAACAAAGAGACGAGCATCTACATGTATTAACTTTACACAATTCCTAATATTTATAGCTCTAATAAAGACATTCTGACGCCATCATCAACACAATTAAAATCATAAAAAGCAAGCTGTAGCGGCCCTGTCTGTCAAGGCGAGCCCGATCTTCAAGAGATACACCCCAACAAAACAAAAGAATAGATGATGGATATATAAATTGCCTTCCGTATCCTGTTATGGAAGTCACGTTGTCAATAAGCTCAGACAGTACGTCATAGACCCAGGGAAAAACACAACTAAGACTGGAGTCAGGAATAACATGTGAGGCATTGTGATGAAATCAACGCTGGTCAAAATAATGAATTAATGAAACCGGCATTTTTCTGAACATTGTGCAATATTTTATTTTTCAAAAATCCTTCTGGGGGGGGGGGGTTCTTTAGCCCAGCCCCTATTATGACCTTTTAAAAACACGTTTATTTATGGATTTTACTGAAAAACGCTGATCAAAGGCAAAAAAATGTATATTATTATCTCAGTTTCGATCGACACTTCCACTTAGGAGGTTACCAAACTTGGATGAAAGGCCATTTTCTCACTATATTTTTTCTTTGACACCAAAGCAGCCTCCACCTCTTTCAATCGCAAATATGAAACTATTTCCATTCAAGATAGATGGGTCTATTTTTATTTTTTCATCAAAAGTAAGATAAATAGCCAAAGTTTAATACGACATTTGTAACTCCGTATTCTGCCCAAAAACTAACGAGCACCTGATAGGGTTTTTTTTACGGATACCACCTCGCAGAACAATCGACAGTTTCCTACCCGTGGCGATACATTAGCCTCTGTATTAATGGAAACCTCTGCGTAAAAAACTATAATTTGATTGACCAAGAACGAGGCCGATATAATGTACGGTCAAAGA